AAAAAAGTCAGAATTCTGACTTTTTTCCCATACTAAACTGAAGTAAAATTTAAAAATAAGTAAACTTTTTTTTAGTGGCCCTAATCCTCTTCTGTACCAAAAGTTATATGGTGTACCCTTTAAGTAAATGAATATTTTTGTCTATTTGAAGTGGATTCACAACCCCAACCTTAGAATCTGATGTGCTTGAGAACAGCTTCTGTTCTGCAAGTTCTACAGTCCAGGAACCACTGAGAAAATTAAGATCCTAATATCCTAATATCATATCTGTAGCAGAGAAATTCACGAGGGATTTAAACTGGTGTTGTGACAGCAGGTCTGTTAACAGTTCTTTGGTTGTTTGTCTGGTTTCCTTCTGCCTTAATCCTTCCTGTTCTTCAGCCTGTAACCGACCCAGAGCAGCTCTGTGATCCATAATCTGCTGTAATCTGTTAATCTGTCCTCCTCTGGCCTGGCTCGTTTCAGCTCTCCGTTTATTACGTCTTGCAGGGATGAAAGCTGCGGCTGCAGAGGAGTTCTTGGTTCTGCCATGGCCCAGCAACAGCGGCGGCGGGTCAGAGCCTGGGCCCGGAGGGGACGGTTATGGAGCTGTGCTGTTGAAGTGTGGAGCTGCTGTGGGAGTCACTCTGATCTGTAAGACCTTTGCTTTAAAAACGCTTTTTTCTACTAGAATGAATCCAATATTCAGATCCGTTACCGTTTTCTACCCTCAGCAGTAAGTAGATTAATTTCCTGAATGGTTGTTATATGACTTTTGTTTAAAGAAAACAAAATATAGCTGAACAAACCCAAACTGAGGCTGTTTACATAAAAGGCTGGAACTCTTAGAGAAACTAAGTTAAAAAAAACATAGATAAAAATCCATGGAGTCGAACTTTTACATATTTTCACCTTAAATTTTATTGAATTTTCTGTTACAAACACAAAGCTTTGCGAAACTATGAAGAGGATAAAAAGTGTTGCATAAACTTTAACATGGTTTGCAGACACAATCTGAAAAGTGTGGCATTTTGGCTGTTTTATGTCTAACTTGATGTTCAGGTTGTTGTCCTGTTGGAAGGTCGACCTTCTCAGATCTTGTTTCTTCCTGGATTGTCTTGGTCCAGCTTTCCTGTCTCACAGCCGGATGCTGCCACCACTACGTTTTAACTAAAACAATCAGAATGTGTCAAAGCAACTCCAAATACTGATCCAAGAGGTAAATAAATTAAACATTACTTGGTAAAATAATACATTATTTCTTAATCTGAATTCAATAACGTTTTGTTCATTGATTATTAATTTTATTTGTTTGTTATAACGTTTTTAGCTTCTTTAAGCTTGGTTTAAGAAACGATAGAGCTGTTAATTCTATTCAGTTTATTTCTATAGCTCCAATTCACATCATGTCATCTCAGGTCACTTTCCAGTTCAACCAGATCATCCAGTCAGATTGATTCAAAGTTTTCTATCTAAGGAAAACCAGCTGATTGCATCGACTCATTGGCTCTTCAGCAATCCCTCATACTAAGCATGCTTGTAGCGACAGTGGAGAGGAAAAACTCCCTTTTAACAGGAAGAAACCTAAAGCAGAACCAGGCAAGTAGCTAGCAGACACAAGGGAGCACATGTATATTTGGCCAATCAAATGTATTTAGTATTGATAAACAACACCTCAATACATGTCAGCATGGGGTACCATGCGGTCACCCTTAGCTTCCTCTTAGCTTATTTATAACTAAAGTAAACACAATTAAATTATCAAATACCATCAAAAACTAAAATTATTCAGCTTTTAAGGTTGACCTTAGCCTTGCCAGAGCTGGAACCACAGTTGATCTGCATTTTGGAAAGGTGAGGCTTCTCCAAAGGTCAGGAAGGCTTAGCAAGTCAGGGCCTGTAGCAGCAAAGTTTAAATATAAAGATAAAAGCCTCCGGTCTCTAGCATCTCATAGTTTCCTGTAAACTCAGAAAGAAACATTGCAGTTTTGCAGAGCAGGTTTTGAGATCACCAACAGCCCGACTTAACTTTGGCAGTCAGAAGGTTCTGATTGTTGCCTTCCATACATGGAGTGCCGCTGATATGGCTGACTAAGGATGAAGGAGCACGGCGAGTGGGTAGGATCCATGTCTTGGCGTTAGTGTCTTGTAGGAGGGGCTTGTGTAGCAGATGAAGAGGAGCGTACAGCATCTTCCCTCATCAATGTCCATAGTTAAACAGCCTGGGCATCGGTCCTAAATCTTCTAAATAAATACCATGGCTTATTGCATTACAGCTTCCTCTGATTTTCTCTGGGCCACTCTCACATAAAGGACAGATCTATGGAGTGAACAAGTTTGAGTTGGATTTTTTTAATAATCATGCAAGTATGACAACTTCAACATACAAATTAGGGGAGCGGTATCCTAGATGTTAGAACAGTGTGCTTGTGCTCTGAAAAGGTTGCAAGTACCCTGTGTGACCCCATAGCCTCCACTCCGGGTCCCTGAGCAAGACCCTTAACCCCACACTGCTGCCCGGGCGCCACATAATGGCAGCCCACTGCTCCCCAAGGGGAGGGGTTAAATGCAGAGGCAAATTTCTCCAGTGTGAGAGTAATAAAAAGGAAAGGAAAAAAAGTTCAATTCAATAATTCAGAGGTTCAGAAGATCCAACATGGCTCCTGCATGTTGCTCTGTTCCTGCTGCAAGGCAGGTTTATTGGAGCAGCACCATTTATACTCACATACTGAGAAGTATTTTACAGACAGAAGGAACTACAGTAAAACGTAGTAGTTAGAACAGACAGAAGAAAAGACAATAAAGGTGATGGTGCAAATGCCGCTTTCTCTCGCTGATGTAATTATTGTTTTTCCATAACGTAACGTTTTTTCTTATCTTTACCTTTAATAGGTACCTTACCTGTCAGAGAGATAGAGTGTGTGTGAAGAACGCTGATGGGCTACGAAATAATAAATAAATTGAACTTTATTGATCTCACATTGGAGAAATTTGCCTCTGCATTAAACCCATCCCCTTGGGGAGCAGTGGGCTGCCATTGTGCGGCGCCCAGGGAGCAGTGTGGGTTAAGGGTCTTGCTCAGGGCCCCAGAGTTGCAGTCTGGGGGAGTGGGGGATCGAACTACCAATCTCAGGATTTAAAGCCCTATGCCCTAATCACTAGACCGCCTCTCCCCTCCATAACCAGTAGCCAATTCAATAAGTAACTCTTTTAGGTTTATATTTTTTGTAAATCTGTCTCTAACAGAGTCAGTGCGTCACCAACAATAAGTCTCACCGCATGTCACTGGTTTATTGTTTTATTTAAAGATAATCATGTGTTTTTTTCACATATATGAGGGCCCTTTTAGGTCAAACAAAAATTAAACAAATTGTTGATTTGTGTTTTCTAAGAGCTTCAGTAACCAATCATATTTAAACCAATTCCAGGACATCTGCTTTCAGAAATATTGCTCCAGAGCTGAGGACTTGTGGTTCTGTGAACCAACTGAGAGCCTGAGGGTTTTATCTGGTTCCTAAAGGACAGTGGTGCTGACTCCACTCAGGTCCTTGTAGACCGTTACACCAAAGCAGTTATTCAGAGGTTTCTTTCATCCATTTTCTTGTTCAGGACCCTGGCGGAAACATTTTGGAGGAGCTGCTTGACTGACCTCTATAGACATTCAGTAATAAAATTTATAACTGTGGTCGGAAAATTTAGATTTCTCCTATTTCAGAAATTGATTTATGCCATTTACTCACTAAACTTTCTGTTTCACCTGCAAGGCCGCACAGTGCCTGAATGAGGGGTGTTTGTAGGCAAGACATGCTCATTCCCATAACAAGCCAGGTTCTTTCTCAATGAGGTGACCAGATTTGGGTTTCTGGGTCCAGTCAGTGGCCCCAGGGCCGCGGCTACCGTCACCGGGTCGGGTTTGGTCGCTCCGCCCCCCCACTGGCTCGATTCCCCCGTCCGCCAGAGTTCCCGGACCAGCCCCAGAACTGACGGCTTGGTTCTGCTACACTGTACTCGACCAAAATCCTGGACGATTTTTCAAAATCCCCCCGGACATTTTTTGGGTATGAAAAGTAGGACATGTCCCGGAAAAAGAGGACGTCTGGTCACCCTATCTCTCAAGGTTTATTCATAACATGTTACTGTTTTAACCAAAGTGTCTGTAATTAGTTTTGACTCTGACTGCTTTCCTTCATTGTGAGTAAAGCCGGACATACACTGTGCGATTTTTTTTTATCATTGCAAGCAGCTCCCAATTCATGTTCTCACACTGTGCGACAAAGTCTGTCAGATTAATAAAAGATGTATCTGTCATGATGCGTTTAGAGGTCTGACCCAAAAATGCAGAGAACCACTGAGAGAGCAGGACAAAAGGTTAAAAAGGTTTATTGAGGTAAGGGTAGAGGGGGTTGGATTTAGAACTCAGTAGACTCAGAGCGCTGGTGAACCTGAACTGGAAGGTCACAGTGGTTAGTTCAGGAACCGTGGGAATCTTGAAGCAGTAGAGAAAATGCTAGTGAGGGACTCACGTTAGGGGAAGTTCTTCTCTCACTAGCATCCAGTCTGTGTGGGTTGATCAGAGAAGAGGGAACATGTTGAAGAGTGGACAGGTAGACATACTTTGGACCCGGAGGAGCACTGGGGCGGACTGTCACTTGGATTTCCATGAGGGACTTGAACGGCACATGTGGAGGTGTCTCCCCTGCTCAGTGTGAACTCGGTAAACAATCCTTCCAGGGAAAGAAGACCAAACATCCAGTATGCAGGAGGACTTCCTGCCAAAGGCAAAGACAAAAAAAAGGTTAGACTCACAGAGACAAAGACTCAGTTTGACTCAGTGAAACAAAGACTCAGGTTAGGCTCTGCTAATGGCTCGAGTACCCAAAACTGGCAAACACTCTGGCGTCGAGGTAATGACAGTCCACTGCTTAAGTACTCCTCCAGATAATGATCCAAAGAGCCGCAGGTGTGAAGGGTGGAGGGAGAGACAGACACAAAACAGACCACACAAACTGGATTCCTGACAGTATCTAGAATTATGATGATAAAAAAATCAAGAATCATAGTTTATTGGTATATTGAAAGGGGTGGAGGCAGAGTAAGACAATCTGAGTTAAGCATCAGAAAAAACAAGGATTTATGTAGACCTTAAAATAACAGTTGAAGTTTTACAGATGGAGGTAAAATACAGGGATTGTTTAAAGGACCAGAACCATTTGTGTTCCTCCTACAGAGGCCAGAACTCTTCAGGTCTTCTTCATTTTTTCAGATTCCACTGTTGAAGCTTATAGAGTCAATGTCTTTTCTCACCTGTTCCAGGTGTGGTCGTGCTCAGGAAATGGATTTCAGGAGGAGTGTGTCGATGTTCCGTCCGGCTGGACGGAAAGACTGTTCTTGTGACCGGAGCAAACACAGGCATTGGTAAAGAGACCTGCAGAGACCTGGCTGGGAGAGGTAAGACTGCCGCGCCTCACCTGACAGACCGGGGTGTTTGATCTGCAGGAGACTTCAACCGGACCGGGGTTGCAGGAGGTTCTGATGGGTCCTACTATGTACTCTTAATTCTTTTTTGTTATCTAACATAATCAGAGTATCACCCGTATGTTAACTGTATATAAATATCAAAATTATACTATTTCTAAAGACAATCCAAATCTATAATATTGAAAGCTCTCAAAGAGCAGTTAGCTCTTCATCTGGTACATTTGGTCAAAGAGACTCAGGTAATGCTGGAGTTTCTTATGGCAGGTAATGTCAGGGTTCAGCCCTCTATTTAAGTTTATTTTTAGTGTCTTGGTATTTGTAGTTGTTTTCTGGGAGGGTTTTGTTCTTGAGTTACTCTCTGTTTCCCCCTTGTGTTTGTTTCCTTTTCCCTTGGCTTCCTTCTAGATGCTTTCATCCACACCTGTTCCCCGTCAGCTCATTAGCCCCGTCTTTGTTCTGTCTCCTATATATACTCCTCCCTGTGGAGTTCCTCAGTCCTGGTTCCTTTTCTTTTCCTGGCTCCTCATGTATGTTTTCCCGTATTTGCTATTTTGTGTTTTTGTATTTCTGCCTTAGTTGCCTGTCAGTATTTCATTAAATCAGCAAAACTCATCTCTGCCCACTAATCTCTACATTTAGGTCCTCAAAACCTCAATCCAAAAGTGACACGTAGATCTTGTCCATTAGTGTCTTCTCTGTGCCCAACAGCAAATCTCGGTTTGTCAAACAATTGTGGAGTGTTGGGCTTGTTTTATGGCCACTCACTTTATGGCAAAGACTCGGAAAGTCTGAGTCTTGGCCAATAGTTGAGATTGTTTCTCATGCTGAACTAAGCCAGGTTTCCTATTCATCACCAAACTTGTCTGTTATTATCCTGGATCTATGCTGCTGAAACACATCTGTCACCAGTGGTCCTGAAATAAGGACCATGTAAGAAAGCCGGAATGAACTTCCTCTGTAGTGATCAGCCTAAGGGAGGAAGAGAGGAGCAACAGGAGAGCTGAGGAGGTTAATTTAATCAGTACCTATTGATGGCCTCCCCTTGGACATATTCAGGTCACGTCTAGCTTTTAGGAGGCCCTAGGGGAGATGGAGAGATCTCTATAACATAAATAAAGCCATTCTGACATAGATCTACCACTAACGTCTGGGTTTGCATCTTGGACGTGTTCCCTGATCTTTGGACAAGCTGAAGACAACACAAGAGGGTTAGATGTGTACTACTAAGTCATGAACATTAGAGCTTTAAAAAGCACCAACAAAGAGCGGTCAATATGACTTGAAGTCTCAGATAAATTTAGGTCTGAGAAGGAAACAGCCAAAAGAGCTTCAGGGTTCCACGCGGTTCTCATCTCCTATGCTGACACTTCAGGGGAAAAGACTAAAGTACCTTTAGACCAGTTAGACCCTCAGAGAAGAAGACAACTGTTCATGGAGGTGAAGTTCTGATGCGGAGATGCTGACATGTTGGTGAAGAACTTAGGCGTTGAGTTTAAATAGGTGTGAAGATCCAACAGTTGGAGCCCCTCCTAATGAGCTCAGCCGGTTTTATCTTCTGAGCACTCCTGCATTAATAACACACAAGTCACCTAAAACCATAATCAGCTCAGAGAACACGGCACCTGCTAACACCTGCAAATCGGCATGCTGGTGTCTGTTCACCAGGAGCCCGGGTGGTGATGGCGTGCAGGGATCTGACCCGGGCGGAACGAGCGGCAGAGGAGGTCCGGCACTCAACAGGAAATGGCAACGTGGTGATCAGACACCTCGACCTTGCCTCTGTTTATTCAGTCTCCCAGTTTGCCAAGGACTTCCTGGACAGTGAGGAAAGATTGGACATCCTGATTAACAATGCAGGTGACATGTCCCTCTGTCTGTCTGTCCTTCTGTCCGCCTCTCTGCTCACCCGTCCGCTCTGCCATCCTGCAGGTGTGATGATGTGTCCCAGGTGGATCACTGAAGATGGCTTTGAGACTCAGCTAGCTGTCAATCATCTTGGTCACTTCCTGTTGACAAATCTTCTGCTGCCAATGCTTAAAAGCTCCGCCCCCAGCCGTGTGATCAACGTGTCATCCATCGCCCACCAGGGGGGTATGACCTTTGAACTAAGCCTCTTAAATGTTTATGTGATGTTTTTGATCCCTGCAGATGGTGATTGTTCTGTCTTCGGTTTCTCAGGTCGTATCGATTTTGATGACCTATTCTTCAGCAGAAGACCATACAGCGCCCTGGAGAGCTACAGACAGAGCAAGCTGGCCAACGTCCTGTTCACCCGGGAACTGGCCCGTCGGCTCAAAGGTTCTGACAAACACAGAGATTCTGAACTACATCAAAATACTCAAAACCGGAACTCTTTGAGGTTCTAAACAACACCAGAACAGAAGCCGAGTCTGAGCAACACCAGAGCTCCCTGAGATTCTAAACCAGGTTTTCTTGACCCCGGTCCTCAGGGCCCATTGTCCTTCATGATTTAAATGTGTTTCTACTCAAGCACATCTGATGCAAATGATTGCATTGCCTCTTCAATAGCCATCAAATGCTGCAAAAACTCTGTAAATCACCTTTTCATTCAGGTCACACCAGACTTGTCCTTTCTCAAGAGTGGACAAGTCTGCTTACAGGCATGCTGGGTAAAGAGGGAGGGGCGAGAATAACATCCGGGGGCTTTGTCCGTTCTCAGTCTTCTTGTTCTTGTGAATAGGAACAGTACTAGGGCTAAGGCTGATGACTATTTCGAGTAAACGAGCACACGAGAACGCACAAGTACACATATTGAGAATTGGCCTTGCTGCCACCACCCCTACGCTCTGTCGCCTAGTAACTGTGACAGTTGAGTAAGGGATGTTCATTGTACTCTTTTTCTATGAAGCATTGTACAACAGGTAGATTTGCAGACTTATTTTGCTTTAAACTTGCGGTCAACAGAAATATTGGCACCCTGCCTTAGCCTCTCTCTGAATCAAACAAAGCAAACAGCCCCAGAGCAGATCCAGGTGATATTCATTAGACAATCACTCAGCTCCAGACACATGCCAACACCCACTTATAGCTCCACCCACACATGCCCATACATACCTTTAACACATGTACCCTACCCTTAGAGACATGACAAAAATGCATCCTTGCCTCTACATACAATATTCACCACTGCTTGGCGCCATTTCCCTTTTTCCTCTGAGCATGGTGCAGCTGGCTTGCTTGGACTCACAATTAATCGTGGGATACCCAAGGCTAAAGAGGATATACCGGACCTGTCCTTCAAAACGGGCAAAACGGAGGACACATTTGTCGCCCGTATAACAAAGAGTCTTCCAGTCTGAACAAGGCTCGGTGCCACGCTAGGACGTAATCAGTCTACAAATCATGACACAGAGGACGCAGTCACTAAATTTGAATTCTGCAACTGTATCCTGTTGTGTCCATATTCAGTGGTGGCATTTTTCCAACTCGCAATGTGTAACATAAAGATAAACTGCATTGTGCCATGATTGGATCCTTGTTTTCCTCACCTGATCTACAGGCTCCGGCGTGTCGGCGTTCTGTCTCCACCCCGGGGTGATCCGGACAGAACTCAGTCGCCATGTAGAGGGCTGGTTCCCTCTGCTGGGAGCACTGCTGAGGATTCCTGCTTGGCTGCTAATGAAGACCCCAAAAGAGGGCAGCCAGACCACCGTGTTCTGTGCCGTGACACCGGGCCTCGAGGAACTATCGGGCAAATACTTCAGGTAGGAGGCAGGACTAAAACTCACCGGCAGGAAGATTCATGGGCATCACAGAGTTTGTCTTTGACAGAACTTTCTGTTTCCACAGCGACTGTGCAGAGAAGGAGGTGGCACCGGAAGGTCGGGATGATGAAGCAGCCCAGAGGCTGTGGGAGGAGAGCGCTCGATTGGTCAGACTGAACGACACAAACTGACCTCTGATGTGCAGAGATAGAAAATTAAAGAGATGGCAGCAGCACCCCCTTCTGGACAAAGGCAAGAAGGAATGAGCATTTCCCTCAGGTGCTGACAAGGAATCCTAGTTCTCCATCTGCTTGGAGCGGAGCAGCAGCACTGCAACAGGACAGTTCCCCTATACTTTTCTTTTTTAACCAAAGATTTAACGTGATGAGAAACCATCTTGTCCTGCTCCCCCTTTGACTGTTTGACCTAAAACAGGTTGACCAATCAAATTAGAGTGTGATGGTTTCAGGAGGAAAAGCGTATATGTACTACTGTCATATGAGTTTAAGTACTAACTGGTTGCTGCTATGGAGATAGAGCACATATACCAGCCGTCGCAGGTTCGAGTCCGAGCCTGCCAACTGTCATTGAATGCCTCTCCCTTCTCTTGTAACCCGCTTTCCTGTCTGCATACTTTTAAATAAAGGCCGCTTGTGCTGAATTTGTCACAATCCATGATTTTGTCTTTAAAAGAAGAACAGCAGCAGTGTAACTTGTTGTGGTTTTTCCTGGCCCTGGTTGTTTTGAACATTTTCATTTGTTACTGGGATTGACTAAAGCCAAAGTGTGGTAGGCGGGGACTAGGTGCTGCTTTGTCCTATTAGCTCTGCTGAACGTCCCTCTTTTTCTCAAATGGATTCAATGGAAGCAGGCCCAGATCGATAATATGTAAAACTAAACTGAGGGTGCTACACATATACCCCATTCACACTACCCTTGAAAAACCGATCCATACCGAGACCGGTCTGAGCTCGGATCAGTTAACCAGGCCAAGCTCGGTTCTGACGACCGTTTACACATCACGCTATCTCGGTTCCTCGCCTCCTAGTGACGATCTGCGGTATTACTGCCAGTATTGAAGGAGGAAATCAAGCAGTTGGTGGCGGTAATGCACCAAAAGTTGTTTGCCAACTGCCATAAAACACAAGAAGAAGACGAAGAAGGAGGGAATCAAGCAAATCAAAATGGCGGCGCCCGTCACGTTCAGAAAGTTATGCTTGATTATTATTGCTGTACTTCGGTGTTTGCGGAGGGTCAGGCAAGACGGCAACCTTTCGTGGATGTTTATAGTTGTTCTTCTGTTTTGTGTTGGTTGGCAAGAAACTTCTGGAGGGGCATTATCGCCAACTACTGGAATGGAGTGTGAATCGAGATGTGCAGCCATACGGAGATGACTTGTTCTGCTCATGCGCTCTTGTTATCAGAGAACCGAGCCATGGAAAAACCGAGCCGGGCCATATTTTTGTTGGATTTTTCTTGTCATTTATGAAAATTAAGTTTAAAAAAGTGAGCTCCAGTGGCAGAGAAAACACTTTTTTTCAGAAGTAATCATCAAAATAGTCTTCAAAAGTATGTCTAATTAATTTTTTAACAGTAACATTACAAAAACAGGGATGGGTTCTGTCACTTTGACTTCTACGATATGAGTACTGTTCCAATTCCGCCGTTTTTTTACACTGATCTCTTTATTCACTGGATTGCTGATTGCCTGAATGTTGGTACTCCCCACTCTGACGGAGACACACAGTAAAAACACCTCCCTATGCAGCATATGGCTGTAAAAACAAGCAGTTTGCCGGTTGTGGGAAGAAGTTCCACAGCTAATATCACAGTCAGTGGATGAACTAATCAAGCAAATTAATATATACCCTGATGGATCCTATAGTACAGTCTGTAGCGTAACATTAGTCTGGCTATCTGGAAGACATTGACTGAGTTAGCCATTGACATTGTGTCTAACCTTAGAAAATAGAAAGTAATTCACTGTAAAATCTCAACGTAGTAATTCTTTATTGATTGTATGATGCTGTCCTTTTTGTGTTTGTTGTATTTCTCATTTGAAAAAGTCATGTTCTGAAATATATTGCACGTTATACTGACAGAAAAATAGCAGCTCAAGCATTTTTAAAGGCTAATGCACAGACAGAATAAAAGTATATGACATCATGCATGCAGAATCTGCAAATATGAAAATACTATAGCATTGATAGACATGTACTTGTTATTCAGTCTTGAAGCTAAATGTTGAAATTATATGCAAAGACCATAACAATATAATAAATACATGTATATGACATGTACATCATTAATTTAGCAGTTTTGGCACATTAACACATTAATTTTATTGTGATGGATTTGTATAATATGTTTTATTACATGATTTATAGACTCTATTGATGCCATACTGACTATGCAATGTGATGTTTCTATTTTTTTTATTATAAGTTAATCTACTGATGCTATGAAACAGCCAGTGTGTGTCAAAGTGATGAATTTATCTTTATTTTAAAAGTCTTAAGCCCCCCTGAAAATGAGAACATCATCGTTGTTCGATGCTGTATTGCTTGTATTGTTTACATTGTGACCATTCTAACTAGAGAGTACCAATATGGCGGCTGGTGGCTTCACTTCACGCCGTCCACATCCAGTGGATAAACAGAAATCAGTGAGATTTTGCAGGCTTGTGACCTCAAAGCTTTGAGTGCATTTCGTCCATGAGTGCATATAGTGTGAGTTTGGGGACTGGGCCTGAGGTGACATTTTACTGGTTCCAGTTCTCATCAGAACTCCAAGGTACCTGCAGGAACCCATCTGGACCTACGGCGCTGATGGAGAGGATGAAGGCTGTATTCTACACAGTGGGTGGGGCTTCCATGCTCCTATTGGCGAGCTAATTTGCATGTGGAGCGGATGCAGGTCTGAGCTGGTAATGAAGCGGGACGGGTCAGACCTGCAGGATGATCTGCAGCTGAGGACGATGATGTTGTCGTTGTTCCTCTAATGATGCGTGTCAGACGATAATCTGCAGATCAGCCGCCGTCTCTCTGCCTGACCCAGTTTGGGATCTGAGCCGACACTGAAACCGACTCTGGGTCAGCTGGGAGGCTTTCAACATCTGCCGGGCCTCCAGAGCAGGATGAGCGGGATTAACACAGTGATCCACATCAGGGATCTGCAGACAGAATCTAAAGGAACATCCGCTGCTACCGACCGAACCCAGAGTCCAGCCGACTCACCTGATTCAGATTAGAGACTGTTTGAAGATTATTTTCTAAATATTTGACCGAAGGTCCAGAAATATGAGCTAAGGACCATAAAACAGACTCTGAATTAAAGCAGAATCTAGGTTAACTGCTTTTAGTAAACATGCAAATTGAAATTGAAGTTTTCTAAACAAAAACAAGCCTTTGTTGGGCTCTTTATAGAACCTGGAACTCAACTCTATTTCTGACATTTTGAATTTAAAAGCTTCCTGAATGGAAAGCAAAATATCTTCAAACTTGGAAAGAAAGTCCAGGTTTTTTTTACTTTTTTGGAATGACAATGACCTGGATGACTGAAAATCTTCACCAGAATAGAGCTTGAGAAAATATAATCAAGAACACAGGATATTTGGCTTTAAGAACATCTATGAGAAGCTAAAAATAGCTGTTAAAGTCGTAGTGAAGCGGCTGGTCCAACCGTTGCATTTGCTAATTCCCCCGAGTGGTGCACGACTTTACACGAGTTAATAAAGTGAATGTGATTGGTCGATTATTTAAGGGGGCGGGATTGTTGTGGTGAAAGGTTCGCAAGAACCAGAAGCATCTTGCTAACCAGTTAGCAACTTAGTGCTAGCAGGTTCCCAATGGGAAATTCCATTGGGACCAAGTAGCACTAAATTGGTGACTTAGAAACGACGCTGTCAAGGAACGCTATGGACAGAGGAAACATGCAAGAGGAGGAGAGTTTAGCGTCGGAGGTCGTGGATGAGTCTCCTCCGTCCTCTGGGAGGCTTCTTGCTGTCTGCAACATTCTAAATA